TCATATGATACATGTCTTTCTCTGTTTGACTTATTTCACTCAACATAATACCCTCCAGTTCCATCCACGTCGTTGCAAATGGCAAGATCTCATTCCGTTTGATGGCTGCATGATATTCCATTGATTATATATACCACATCTTCTTTATCCTATACTGTGTGCATTTTATTACAGCTACTTAAAAAAGGAAGTAGGCTTTGACAAATAATGGCATTTCATAGTGATGTGAATATAGGTTGGAGCGAGTGGTGGGAGGGAAAGATAGCTTTGACATTCACTATTGTTGTGCGTTGTTGACTGTAAAGTGATTTTTGTGATTTTATTGTGCAGGCCAAAACACTAAGAAAGCTGATCCAACAGACATTTAGACAGTTTGCCAACCTTAACAGAGAAGAAAGTATTCTGAAGTTCTTTGAGATCCTCTCCCCAGTGTACAGATTTGATAAAGAATGCTTCAAGTGTGCTCTGGGTGTAAGTATGGGGACATGGGAAATGGGCAACTGGGTTTCATTTCTTTTGCTTTTTCTTATCCATGTATGTCTGAATTTCTGATTGAAATCTGATTTGTCACATTTTTAACAACATGAAAATATTTGTCATTTTACAGTGGGGAAAAATGAAAAAAGAAAATGTATTAATGTGAGGATGAATTCATCTTCTTTTGAAAGCATGCCTGTGTTGATAATTGGATTTTTTATTCCAGCCCAGTGATTTGTTAATGGACTGTTCCCTCTGGGCTAGTTTAACCTATTCAAATAATCTTTCCAAAGAAACCATTAGCTTCAGACCCACCAGATGCTGGATCAGTGAAGTTACAGACATTTTGTAGTACTTGGTTGGATAGATAAATGGCAAGCTAGACCAGCCCCCCGCCTCCACCCCCACCTTGGTCCTTTAATGTGTCCATGTTTTCATCTAAAATATTTCTTTTTTCTTCTGGGACCTTTGTCATTACCTGTTTCACCCTTCAAAAGTCAAGCTGGATTATTTCGGTGGAACTGGCAATTGGCCCAGAAGAAGGAATCAGTTACCTCACGGACAAGGGCTGCAACGTAAGTCTGCTTTGGTGACATCTCGGGACTGCCTGTGCACGGACACTCCTCACGCTGGGCCTGAGTGCAGACAAAGATGAATCCTGCCCCTTCCCAGTCTCTAGCCCCTACCCCGAGAGGGGCTGCTGTCCTGAGTTCTGCATCATTGATGAACTCTTCAGTAAATGCTGCAGCGTCCGCTGAGTATTCGCAGAGAAAAACCAGGGTATTCTGACCCCTGTCACATACTTAACAAAATCCATTCCAGATGCAATATTGATCTACATGTGAAAGGCAAATGATGAAAGTCATAGAAGAAAACATAGGAGAATATCTTAATAAATTTGGGGTAGGCAGAGATTCCTTAAACAGGACTTAAAAAGTGCTAACTCTAAAAGACAATTTTGGTAAATTAGAGTACATTGAACTCTTTTCATCAAAAGATAGTAGAAAGGCAAGCCAGGTATTTGCATTAATGTATTTGACAGTAGTCTCCTAAGCCAGGGTAAAGATTGGCAGTAAATCATTAAGTAAAGGGCAGATGACCCAAGAGGATATCCAGATAGTCTAGAGATAAATGAGAAGGTGTTGAGCCTCGGAGTCATCAGATACGTGCAGTGAGGTGCTATTACGTGTCTACTGGGATGGCTAAAATGGGAAAGAGCTGTAAGACCAAGTGTTGACAAGAGTGTGGCCCCGCTGGAACTTTCCTACGCTGATGGCAAGAGCAGCCATTGGTGTGACCTCTCCAGGACAGCCTGTGACCTTACCTGTTTTCACCACTTACAGATTGTTGTAGTCCTAGCCTTTAGGTTTGATTTGTGGTCTCCTGGATTTTCTTGCAATGTTGTCTCTGTCCTGTTTACATGTAAGCCTTTAACCCACCTGGAATCCACCCAGAGTCCTCAGGTGAGGTCACAGGTGGGCCCCCGAATGCGGTCAAGAGAGGCAGGCTCTGGAGGACATGGCCACGGTTGCCACCTTGACTCGCTCTCATGCTAGCCTTGCGACTTGGGCTCCGTCCCTCCGCCATTGGCCTGTGTTTCCTCATTGGTAAAATGGCCGTAAGAATTTCAACCACCTAATAGGGTTGGTAAGAGAATTAAGTAATGAATTTGATCCTGGCCTCACACAAAGGACTCAGGGAGGCATTTGGGTGTCACCGCTGTTCTGTCATTGCTGTTGTTGCTGGCCCTGTTCCAGGTGAGCGGACAGCAGGGTCAGCAAGGTGCACCAAGTCATGTATCTGTTACCTCCTGCGGTGCACCTCGGGGTCTTCTGTTCCGTGACGCTGTCCAGTTGTCTCTTTCCGCATCAGCTTCCTACAGCTTGATGTGCCACAGCACAAAAAAAATCTTTTCTTTTTAGTGTATGTACTGCCGAAGTGAGCACAATCTAGATTTTTCTTTTTTATATTAACTTTATAAGGACATTAAAGGGTATTAGCAGTTACACTAATTTATTTCATCAGGTGAATTGGGGTCTTTTTATGATTTTACGTCCTGAAATATTTGAAGCCAGAATGGGAATTGCATGTTTCTCGGGTGAGGCAGCCTGGGTCTGCGTGGCCCCTGCTGCCGCCTCAGTGACAGGTGTACCAGCCACCACCCCCCCCCCCCGCAGCGGCACAGCTGCTCAGGGTGTCTGCTTCTTGTCGCCTGTCGTAACTCACGTTCCGTTAGCGTGTCCTCTGCCTCCCGTGTTTTCAGCTTGTCACCATGGAGCTGTATCTCGGGGTTCTCTCATCATCTTTCCGGTGACTTCAGTCCTGTGCCTGGTCTCACGCCCACGCACGTCTGTTGGAGTTTGGCTTTTGCAGACGTGCGGACGGCTTGTCTCTTGTAGCGGCCCTTTGTGGGCAAGCTCAGAAATCGGGGTGACAGCGTTGCCGTTCCTTTTCCTTCATGTCGGCATTGTTCTTGGCAGACCCCCTTTCCCAGTCTTGTTCGCTTGTTTTTAGCATTTCTCCTGCAGTTCCCTTGGGGTGTTTTTTTCCAATGTATTTTCGTTTACTTTGGAGGCCATTTTCTCGTACAACTTGTAATGTCTTACTAATGTTGGTAGGTGGTGTTCTCCTTTCGTTGTATTTCTGTACAGCTTTTATTTCTTTCATCATAGCATTATTTAGGAGAGTGTTAAATTTCAAGTAGCTCTGAGGGTTTGGGTCTCGCTGTTATTATTTCTAATGTTACTGGCCAATGAGCAGAGAACAGGTTTTTTCCTGTGAATGTGTTCCAGTCTTCTTTATAGCCAAGCATATGGTTGATTTTTATCAATGTTCTTTGGAAAAAATGTCTATTTTCTCTTTGAGAATATGAGGATCTCTGTCCTCTGGAGTGAAAGTTGCGGTTGTATAAAGTAGAAGGAAACTAGGTTGGGAGTGTCAGGATAGAGCCCCGGAAGTCCCTATAAAATCTGCCCTGCTTGCATTTCTGCCTGCCACACCCACCCTCCCGTCCCGTGCCTTCCGTGGGTGAACATCATGCTTCTGGTAAGACCGTCCCTGGCTGTGTAGCGGCCCCCCTGTCTCTTCTGCTCTCTTTCTAGCACCAGTAAATGCTTCCAATCTACTGGGCCATTCCTATTAGCATAGAAAAATGTGTAATCTCTCTCATCCTAAAAACGTCCTCCCTCAAACCCATAGCCCTTTCCCTGTCCCCGCCAGGGAGCAAGCCCACGTTTCCTCTTTGCTTTATTGCAACAGTTCTTGGCACGTGGCCGTTGAGAACCTGGTGGCGCGTGGCTGCCCCAAGCCGAGCTGCTCTGAGTGTGCCGCCTGGCTTCCTCCCATTCTGTCTTCAGCCCCCGCCGGCACCCCAGCACCTGCCCAGCCTCCGCCTGGGGGACAGTGACCCTCATGCAGCGGAGCCCTCTCGGTACTTCTAAGTCCTTAGCTACTTCACCTGACTCCTAGGTCACCTTATTCTCCAGCGTTGCTCAATACAAGTGATGCAAGCTGCTTATGGACTTTGCAGTGTTCTAGTAACCACATTTTAAAAGGTGAAAATGAATTTTAATAATATACCTTATGTATCCCAGTATATCCAAGATACCATCACCTCAAGGTATCATGCATATAAAAGTTACGGAGATATTTTGTATTCTTTTTATCATAGTGAGGCTTTGGAATCGGCATGGATTCTGCATTTTCATCGCCCCTCAGTTTGGACTAGCCGCGAACCACCAGCTGCCCGATAGCCACTCGCGGCTTCCCGCTACCGTAGACAGCCCAGCTCTGCAGGCTCCTCTGCACACACTGGCCCTCTCTTGGGGCCCATAAGGCCTACTTTTGTGCCTTGTCTGGAGTGCTGCATGGTCCAGTCTGCATGTGTGTGTGAAGATGCTTGGTGCTGGGCAGTGAGCCGGAAGCCAGGGCCCAGCGCCGGGTGAAATCCACGTGGTCCTGGCTTCATGGGGCCCGGGGCCCACTCTCGTTCTCAGGGAGACTTGTTCTGAGTGAGGCCTCACCATTTCCTCCTGCCCCTCCCCAAACAAAGTGGATGTAGTTTTAGACAGTACCCTCAGTTGCTTTGTTGCGGTCTTTATCACAATTGTAATTACGTGCTTCCTTGTGTGATTGTTTATGTCTGGATTCACGTCATCCTTGTTCGCTGCTGGATTCCTGGTACTTAGAACAGAGCCCAGCACCTCATAAGTTCTCAGAGTCATTCATTCACTCCCTCACGTACCAGGCACGGCCCTCCTTCCTTGCAATAAGTGGTAGACAGGATGGGCGTCCACCACTAGATCACCCTCATGGTGCTTTTAGTCTGTTTGTGAGAGTGAATGCAAGAAAGATGATAAGCAGCAGAAATAATCCGATCATGAGAGAGGGCTACAGTAGGGTAGTATGAGAGTGTCTGGTGTCCAATTTAGAGTGGTGGTCAGTGTGGGCCCCTCCCAGCCCTGTCTTCTTTATAACAGATATTTTTAAGAGTCTTTTGCTAACTTGAAATAAAATCACAGAATATGCTGTGCACATATAATTCCAAAAAGTCTATTTCAGTATGTCAGTACACAGCACAGAGATGGGCAAGTGTTACAGAAGAGTCAGAGCTGAGTACTGAGCGTGTTCATCTGAGAGAGGGCCACCGGAAGTGCCCCCTTACAAGTAGTATAGGAAAGTGACAAGGGGAAGTTACGTGACTGACCTCGGGGGGCATGTCAAAATGAGGCAGAAACACAGTAGGTTTAAAAAAAAAAAAAAAAAAGGAATATAATGATTTCCATGACTTAAATTTCCATTGTTCTTTGGAAAAAAATATTTTCGTTATAAGATGGCAATAATAGGAATATTTTAATATAATCATTTAGCGAGACTAGTTGAGATGTCCCCTATTTCATGCATCACCAGCTTAATAACATTTGATTCCTGGTCTGTTAGAAGGAGCCTCATCTCCTCTGTTACAGATGTGTGTGCATGGGGTCAGCAGCTCAAATACCAACAAGCATTGCCCTCCATGATGTCATTTTCCAAAATGGTGAGCAACTCATCATAACATTCCAAAGATAGCAAAGTCAGTATTCCCTAAATTACACATAAGTTGTATTGCTGGAAAATTCAGTGTAGAGCATACTTTGTGTTTTAAAAAAGGCTTGGGTTCTAGAATCAGATTTTTCACCAACATGAATACACATCAGGACACTTGAAAGCCATTCAGGACATAGGACAGTTTTCGCTGTGAGGGAACTTCTGTGCTTTCTACCACGTCTCACGGCCCTGGTCCCCATTTATATCCCTCATTCTTCAGCCAACCAAAAACAACCCTCTGGGGGCATGATTCTGCCCCAGTAAGACTAGAGTGCATCTGATCAAGATGAGCTCATGATGAGAAGTTAGGTCCAAGAGGCAGGCAGAGGGCGGACCAGGGGGTTGTTTGCCTCCCTTTGCTGGCACCGTACGTGTTGAAGCAGGGGCTTGTCAGACCTGACTTACACTGTGAAATACCTCCCAGGCTTCCGGGTAGGGTGGTCTGTGGGCGGGGGGACAGGCGCACAACGAGGGAAACGGCTGCAGGGCTGATGCTCTAAGCAGGATACCAACGGTGATTGCACCAGAGTGGCAGCTGGGAAGGTGGAAGGAAAATGCACAGACTCCGGGTGCGGAGGGGGGCTGGCTGTGGGGGAGGAAAGAGAGGAGCCGGTGATAATGCCTCCGTTTTTCGGCTCAGGAACAGGGTTGACTGGTGATGCTTGTTGCTGCACTGGGGAGGCCTGGAGGAGGAGCAGGTGTTAAGAGCGGATCCCGTGACTGTGCTGTTCACGGTCTGTCCCCGACGTCCGTGTGGGGGTGTCATGTAGGTGGCTGGATACGTGTCCCAGTTCAGGACTGGAGACGTACTTGCACCACGGGGCTGGGTGGTATTGGCTGGGCCGCCACAGCTCAGGGGAAGGATGGGCCCAGCACAGAGTCCTGTGGCCCGTGATCATTTAGAGATGGAGCAGAGGAGAAGCCAAAGGAACTGTGGAAGACAGCCAGTGAGGTAGGAGCGAACCCCGTGAGGGCAGGTGGCACAGAGGCGGAGAGAGGGGAGTGGGCACAGGGGCCGTGCTCCCTGTTGTTTGGACGTCTTAGAATGGGAAAGCGGAGGGCTGCCCCTGGGCTCCTGTCTGAAGGCCTCATGGACACACCTGTGCCTGAAAGCAAAGCTGTGAAGGTGTTCTGATGTGAAGGGAAGCTTTTTTTTTTTTTAAGATTTTATTTATTGGGGCACCTGGGTGGCTCAGTCGGTTAAGCGTCTTCCTTCAGCTCAGGTCATGATCCCAGAGTCCTGGGATCGAGTCCCACGTCAGGCTCCCTGCTCTGCGGGGAGCCTGCTTCTCCCTCTGCCCCTCCCCCTGCTTGTGCGCGCTCTCTCTCTGACAAATAAATAAAGTCTTTTAAAAAATTAATAAAGATTTTATTTATTTATTTGAGAGAGAGAGAGAGTGCACACGCACAAGGTGGGGGGAGAACAGAGGGAGAAGCAAACTCCCCACCAAGCAGGGAGCCTGACGCGGGGCTCGATCCCAGGACCCTGGGATCATGACCTGAGCTGAAGGCAGACGCTTCACTGACTGAGCCACCCAGGAGCCACTATGAGTCACTTTCTGAACCATAATTCCAGCTCAGTCCCGGTGGCAGAATCTGGGCTGAGTGGAGTACTTGGTGGGAGAGGCCAATCCTCATGACGTTGTAAGAGAAAGAGGCTGAAATCAAGGTAATTGTTGTGAATAAATGTGTAGGAATCATCACAGCAAAGTGATCATTGTCATGAAATGCTAGAAGGATAAGGGACAAATGGGTATTTTTTTTTTTTGTCTTCATAAGAAGAAAAGAGTTGATTCTAGTTGGAGAAATGAAGTCTCTTGGGACGTCTTCCTGAGAAGGGTCCTTTGGACACCTGCCAACTCCCTAGCGTTGTTAAACTCAGAGACTTGCTCTAATTCAGGATGCACTGGGAGTGCACACAGGTCCCTCTCTCTGTGGGAACGGGAGCAGGTTTCACACGCAGTTACTCCCAAGGCCAGTGAGTGAGTCAAATCTGGGACTTTCTTCTATTTCCTTCCTTCTCTGGGACCTGTGACCCACCCGTCCACCTCTGACAGGTGGAGCACTCCTGCTTGGCCATTAGGAACACAGAGAACAGGCATATTCCTCACCTGGGAGTGAGCAGACAGTTCCTGGTGGTTCCAGGACTGCTCCTAAGGAAGAGAATACCCCACTGGGGGCTGATGGATGAGCAGCCTCTCCCCCAGATGCAGTCATCGGGAGGAGGTCCTCGGGAGAGTGGGATGGGGTGGGCACTGCAAGAAAGTCACGCAGTACCTGACAGGAGTCTGTCTGGGGTCCCAAGTGGTTGCCTTTTCTCTCCCAAGCCCACACATCTGGCCGACTTCAATCAAGTGCAGACCATTCAGTATTCGAACAGCGAAGACAAGGACCGGAAAGGGATGCTACAGCTGAAAATTGCCGGTGCCCCCGAGGTAAGGATGCAGTTTTTGTGGGTCATCAGAATCCCAGCTTTCTCTTACGTAGTGAGTGTTCCATTTCAGGTAGTAATGAGTACATGCCCCCAAGAGTAGAGCAGGTGACAGATGGAAAAGTTGGTCAGGAGCATTATTGTCAAGCCGGTTGAAGATTCTCGTGAACTAGCACGAACGTCTGCTTCTTAGGATTATGTAAATGCACGGGTACCTTCAGTAAGCAGGGTCATTTCCCAGACTGCTGTGCATGGTGGTCTCGGGACCGGTCACCTGCTAGCAGCCCTGCTGCCGCAGCTCCTGCTGGGTGGGTCACCTGCTACTCTGACGCTTAGCACGGGGACCAGGAGCCACACGGGTCATTCTCAGAACCCAGCAAAAGGAGTTCTTTGAGATACTCTGAACCCATTGTACAGCTGAGGAAGCCGAGCACAAGTGGTGGAGATGGGGTGCCTCCCAGAGCCCACGCTTTTAATCCGCATGCAGTGTGGCCCAGTCAGGACAGCGCACCATTTGGCAAATACCGCATCCAGTGACCTTCTTTGACAGACGGGCAGAGGACGCTCACATGTGGAGTCAGAACGACTGGGCTTGTCGCACACAGCACGTTTTCGGACCTCTGTCTGTTACATGCAGCGCACGGGACTCTCTGGTGGTGGAAGCCTTTTCTCAGACGGGTTTATCTGCCACGCTCCTCACTTGTTCTTTCTGCCTTGGGAGCAGGGGCATTTCTGAGGCTCTCAGAAGTGCATTTGATTCTCAGAGGTGAATAAATGAAACCCTAAAATATGGAAACTATTGCCAATTAAAATTTCCCGACAGCACCTCTGTAACATTCTCTTTCGGCACCACCATTGTCAGAACTCCCCCCCGCCC